TGAAGGGATACCATCAAGAAAGTGAAAGACAACCCATTGAATGGAAAAAAATGTTTGCAAATCATTTATCTAATAAAGTTATATCTAGAATCTACAAAGAATTCCTATGACTCAAAAGGACAAATAACCAAAATTTTTAAATGGGTAAAGAATATGAATTTTTCGGCCAGGCGCGGTGGCTCAAGCCTGTAATCCCAGCACTTTGGGAGGCCGAGGCGGGTGGATCACGAGGTCAATAGATCGAGACCATCCTGGCTAACATGGTGAAACCCCGTCTCTACTAAAAATACAAAAAACTAGCCGGGCGTGGTGGCGGGCGCCTGTAGTCCCAGCTACTTGGAGGCTGAGGCGGGAGAATAGCGTGAACCCGGGAGGTGGAGCTTGCAGTGAGCTGAGATCACGCCACTGCACTCCAGCCTGGGCGACAGAGCGAGACTCCGTCTCAAAAAAAAAAAAAAAAAAAAATATGAATTTTTCTCCAAAGGAGATATACAGAAGGCCATAAAACACATGAATATATGTTCACATCAGCTATCCGGAAAATGCAAATCAATATGACAATGAAATATCACATCTCACCTGTTAGGACAGCCATTATAAAGAAGACATCGAGGCCGGGCGCAGTGGCCCATGCCTGTAATCCTTGCACTTTGCGAGGCTGAGGCGGGTGGATCACCTGAGGTCAGGAGTTTGAGATCAGCCTGGCAACATGATGAAACCCTGTAATCCCAGCTACTCAGGAGGCTGAGGCAGGAGAAGCGTTTGAACCCGGGAGGCGGAGGTTGCAGTGAGCTGAGATCATGCCACTGCACTCCCGCCTGGGCAACGAGCAAGATTCCGTCTCAAAAAAAATAAGACATGGTCAGGCACAGTAGCTCATGCCTCAACTCCCAGCATTTGGGAAGCTGAGGCAGGAGGATTGCTTGAACCCAGGAGTTTAAAACCAGCCTGGACAATATAAAGAGTGAGACCCCCATCTCTGAAAGGAAAAAAAAAAAAAGGAAAGACATAGTATTGGCAAGAATGTGGAGAAATTAGAATCCTCATACACTTTTGTTGGTGAGAATGTAAAATAGTCCAGCTAGTGCAGCAGCTTTGGAAAATAGCCTGGCAGTTCCTCAAAAGCTTAGAGTTACCTATGACCTAGCAAATTGTACTCCTAGGCATATACCCAAGAGAAATGAAAACGTCCACACAAAAATGTGTACATGAACTTCATTGACAGTAGCCAGAAAGTGGGAAAAAGCCTAAATGTCCATCGACTGATTAATGAAAACAACAAAATGTGCTATAACCACAAGATGGGTAAGTATATGTTTAACCTTATAACAAACCGCCAAAACTTGCAAAGTGAATATCATTTTGCATTCTGGCCAGCAATATATCAATGTTCCCATTGCACTACTTCTTAGCACTTGATATTGTCAGGATTTTGGTCTGTTTTAAAGTAGCCATTCTAACAGGTGTCTAGTGCTATTTCATTGTTTTCACTTGCATTTTCCTAATAACCAATGATGTGGGGCACCTTTTCATATGCTTCTTTGCCATCATGTATCATCTTAGGTGAAAGGTCTGCTCAAGTCTTTTGTTCATATGTTGGAAGATTGGCTCTTTTCTTACGGAGCATTAGTTACATATTCTGGATATAAGTGCATTATCAGATGTGTTTTGCAATTATTTTTTTCTCAGTCTGTGGCTTTTTTTATTTTCTTAACAGTGTCTTTTGAAAAGCAGATGTAATTAATTTTGGTAAGTCCAGTTTTTCAATTTTTTTTTTTTTTGGGAATCTTATACTAAAATCTTTGCCTAACCCAAGGTCACAGATTTTTCTTAGGTTTTCTTCTCAATATTTAGTAGTTTTAGGTTTTACATGTAAGCTATCATTCATTCTCAGTTAACTTTGGTATATGAGTTGAGGTTCTTTTTTTTTTTTTTTTGAGACTGAGTCTTGCTCTTTTGCCCAGGCTGGAGAGCAGTGTGACACGATCTTGGCTCACTGCAACTCCACCTCCTGGGTTCAAGTGATTCCTGTGCCTCCTGAGTGGCTGAGACTACAAGTGTGTGCCACCACACCTGGCTAATTTTTGTGTTTTTAGTAGAGATGGGGTTTTGCCATGTTGGCCAGGATAGTCTGAACTCCTGACCTTAAGTGATCCACCTGCCTCGGCCTCCCAAAATGCTGGGATTACAGGCATGAGTCACGGCGCCCAGCCATGAAGTTCATATTTTTACATATGGATATGCCAGCCCCATTTGTTTAAAAAACTATCCCCATTGAACTACTTTTGTGCAATTATAAAAAACCAACTATATTTATATGGGGTCTCTATTCTCTTCCACTGATAAATAGGATCTATCCACTACCACACTGTCTTAATTACTCTAGTTTTATCTGTCTTGAAATTAGGTGGGAATTCTCCAACTTTGTTCTTTTTTCAAAAATATTTTGGCTGTTCTGGTTGCCCCTTTCCATATAAGTTTTATCATCAGCTTGTTGATTTCTATAAAAATTCCTGCTGGGATTTTGACTGAAGTTGTGTTAAATCTATAGATCAATGTGGAGAGAACTGACATCTTAATAATATAGAATCTTCAAATCCATGAAACATGGTATATCTTCTTTTTGTAGGTTCTTTGATTTTTTTCATCTTCTTTTTGTAGGTTCTTTGATTTTTTTCATCAGTTTTTTACTTTTCAGCACAGATCTTACATATTTTTGTTAGATTTCATGTTTTCTGAAATCTGTAAGTGGTGATTTAAAAATTTCAGTTTCTAAACATTCATTGCTACTACGCAGAAGTAGTCAACTTTTGCATACTGATTTTGCTAAATTCACTTATTCTAGTACTTTTTAGATTCTTTGGTTTTTCTATATAGGGATTCATATCATCAAATAGATACTGTCTTATTTATTTATTTCCAATCTGTGGGCCTTTTTCCTACCTGCCTTATTGCACAGTGCACTACAGTGTTGAATAAGAATGCCTTGCTCCCAGTCTTAAAGGAAAGCATTCTTCACCATTTGTATGTTAGCTCAGGCTTTTTTTGCAAATGGTCTTCATCAGGTTTAGTCTTAGTTCTCTGAAGACTTTATTTTTTTGTTTATTGAATCATACGTGGCTGTTGAATTTTACCAGATACTTTTTTCTGCACCTTTTGGGTAAAAACAATTTTTGAGATCAAATTGACGTAACCATAATATTCACCCTCTTAAATAAGCATATAGTGGCTGGGCACAGTGGCTCACGCCTATAATCCCAGCACTTTGGGAGGCCAAAGAGGGTGGATCACCTGAGGTCAGGAGTTGGAGACTAGCCTGACCAATATAGTGAAACCCCATCACTACTAAAAATACAAAATTAGCCAGGCATGGTGGCGTGCGCCTGTAGTCCCAGCTACTTAGGCGACTGAGACGTGAGAATTGCTTGAACCCGGGAGGCAGAGGTTGCAGTGAGCTGAGATCACACCACTGCACTCCAGCCTGGGCGACAGAGTGAGACTCCATCTCAAGAAACAAACAAACATACAATTTAGCAGTTTTTCCTATATCCACAGTCATTTTCTGCAACTTTTGAGATGATCATTTGGCTTTTCCTATTTGTATGCTGATACAGTGAACTACGTTGATTTTTTTTAAACATTGGATCAGCCTTTTATTCCTGGGATAAACCCTACTTGGTCATGATGTATTCTTTTTATAATATTAGGATCAGATTTCATATGCGAGTATGACAAATGACAGTTTTATAAAATCCCTGTGACCTTATAATAAACATTACCCTAAATATACAATTGTTTTCTTATTGCTTTTGAATAGAAACTAAGAGTGTCTTAAATGCTCTCATAAAATTTGCCATTTAGAAGGAAATTTTTAATTAAAAAAATACCTTATAGCTTTCAACTTATAAAATCACATGGATTAAAAAAAAAAGCTCACCTTTGGTCTACAGATAATGACAAAATGTGCATTCAAGAAGCCCTTACAAGAAAAGCCTTAAGTAATTTACACGATGAAAATAACTCCAATAGTAAGGGATTTTTAGCTGATTGCCTTCCCTCTGCTTTGGGTGGCCACACCAGAATTCCTATAGAAAATGCTTAAGAGATACAATATGATCAAAGTTAGGCTGGAGGTCCTGCTGTGAAGCTTCATTTACATAACTGGTATTCATTTTCTTAACTATTTGTGTTACAGAACAATAAAAATAGATAACTTTTCTAAAAGCATTTTTATTCACATTTTACATAAGATTGAAAAAATGTCAGTTGTCCACTACCAGAAAATGGGGAACTAAGGAGTATGTCCTTACCACCTCCCCAATCACTCTGTTTGCTTTTGTACCTGTAACATTAAGGTTCTGTTTCCCAGACCCCAGAGATAAGACCTACAGGTTGTGTTTAGTGCTTCAGAAAAAAGGAAACTGAGAAAGATAGCTATCATAAGAACATCTCACATTAAAAGACAGAGTAGATTCATTTCCTGGGTATTTTTGTTTTTGTTTTTGAGACAAGGTCTCGCTCTGATTGCTAGGCTAGAGTACAGCGGTGTAATTTTGACTCACTACAGCCTCACCCTCCCCAGGCTCAGGTGATCCTCCCACCTCAGCCTCCCAATTAGCAGGGACTACAGGCGTGTGCCACCACACCCAGTTAATTTTTTTGTATTTTTAGTAGAGACAGAGTTTCACCATGTTGCCCAGGCTGGTCTAGAAACTCCTGGACTCAAGTGATTCACCCGCCTTGGCCTCCCAAAGTGCTGGGATTACAGGCGTGAGCCACCATGCCCAGCTGAATTTCTGTTGTTAAACAGTAGGGAAGAAAGAGAAGACATATTCTCATTTCAAAGCAATTTATGTTAGTAATAACTGAGCAAAATGGTAGAATATTTTAGTTGTGTGTTTTCAGAAGTAATGTCAAATTTACTTCAGATAATTTAAAAGGTTTCTTGCATATTAAATGGTTAAAGTGGTGTTATTAGACTAAAGAAAAAATGCAAAACCTTTTTTTTACAGAATAGTATAAATGTTTATTTTCTGTATGATTTACTTTGCTGTCCTGTTTTTACAATATAGAAAAGTGTATTCTTTGAATAGCTCTAGTAAATATAAATTTAATCTTTCTACTTTGGGATGTAAATAGAGCTAAAAAATTATATACCCAACCCTCCCCAAATAGTCTTTTAAAATCACTGAATTAATGTGGCTGTTCATCTTGTTCAGCAATTTGATGCAAATGCCTGAATACAAAAAGTTGTTTAGTAAGTACTACACAGGAAGGAAAAAGCTTAATATTTTAGATAGATTTTTGAAAATCAGAAAAACTAGTAGCATTTGATTGCACCTTGAAATTTTTTTACAAGCAAAACATTCGTAAGCAATGCCATCATACATAATCTACAATTGTAATCAAAATTTCACGAACATTTTCTGCACACTGTATATAAATACACATCACAAAGGTGCAATTAGAATTAACACAGAGTATGTACAAAATGAACAAAGTTTAAGTTTAGACCAAAAACTTATTGCAGTCTTTTGAAAAATAACTTGATTATTTTACCCTCTTACACTAATTTACATTTATACAAATTTTAATTAAACATACTAGATTGAGGTGCTAAGAATGTTTGCACTATCTACATTTAAAGTTACTGCACTATGATTTTATAAATCCAAATTTAAAAGGAAGATACTTTAGTGAATAACGGAATCCTCTTTTAGATTACTTAATTTCTATTGCCTATATCTTGTGTGTTCATATGAACATATATACACACTTAATACATACAACTATAGAGTCCTTGTAGGAAATGCAATAATCATATACTAATTACTGACAATTAAGGTACCTAACAAAATGCCTGAATTCCAACATGGTTTTTTCTTGTCATAAAATCAAGAGTCCTGTTACAACAGGCTCTTAAATTCATAGTTTTTGAATTACTGAAAATGATTTAGGTTATTTTAGTAATTATAGGAAAACAGACCTTCCAAATCACTGGCTGAAAATAATGTCATATTAAACTTCCCTTATAAAAAGAAATCCCACTGCAATTTTGAAAATTTTGTTAGCAGGCCCGTTTCTGCAAATCAAGTAAGAGTTGTGAATTGATCTGAAACCTCTTAGTTCCAAAATCTATAAAAAGGGCCGGGCATGGTGGCTCACGCCTGTAATCCCAGCACTTTGGGAGGCCGAGGCGGGCGGATTGCGAGGTCAGGAGATTGAGACCATCCTGGCTAACACGGTGAAACCCCATCTCTACTAAAAATACAAAAAATTAGCCGGGCATGCTGGCGGGTGCCTGTAGTCCCAGCTACTCGGGAGGCTGAGGCAGAAGAATCGCTGGAACCCGGGAGGCAGAGGTTGCAGTGAGCTGAGATCGCACTATTGCACTCCAGCCTGGGCTACACAGTGAGACTCTGTCTCAAAAAAAAAAAAAAAAGTCTATAAAAATGACTGATTGTATAGATGAAAACTTCTCTAAATTCATCTTTTGTAGCTTCCCTAGTCTTTGTTTCTCCACCCATGCCAAATTTTATACTTGATTACTATGTTAGGTTCTATATTATCACTACATAATATGTTTACTTCTATTTATATCCACCTATCATTTTAGTAGTACCCAGTAATCACTTTGACAATTTATTTCTTCAAATACATACCACCTCTTTGAAAGAAAAGGGAGACAGCCCAGAGCATCTGTTAGCCATTCCTTATGACAGAAACACATTGCCCATCCTCTGAGAATTATTTACTGTCCTTTAATATTTTATATGTTTTTTTTTTAAATAACTTTAAAAATTTTTTAAAGTGTGCCTGGGGATTATTTCCCCTTCTGACATTCCCAAAGTGACAACAGGATATTATTCCAGAATCTGCCCAGAAAGGCTGACTTTTCCTTTAAAAGATAGTCCTATTCTAAATACAAAATGTCATTTGAATGTGTTTCATAAGAACTTGTTTATGTAACATTCTGTCTGCATATATTCTAGATCAAGTCCCAAAGAATGGGTGCTAACCATTGCTGCTTTGGCTTTTCTACTAACAAAGTCATACAACACCATACATTATAAATTATATGAATTTATAAACATTTTTTGTTAAAGGTATCAGAAAGAGAACATCTAATTCTTAAGAAACCCAAGCAAATTTAAAAATCTATATAATAAAGAAAAATTCAATTTAGAAGGGGCATAAGCAGATTTAACTAAGATTTAAAATGTACTAATTTCCTCATTTAAAATTTCTTCCTCTTCAGTATTATAATTTCAGGTCTTTTAAAACAAGGACTGAATTAAAATACAGTAATTGTTTTTCTTGCAGAAAATCAAGTGTCCCTGGCACCTTAAATTTTCTGTACAGTTCCATTTATCAGTCTTTTGTGCAAGAGTTAGCAATTCATGGCACAAGGGTCACTTTTTGCCTTTCCTGCAGAGTTGATGACACTCATCAAACATCGTCCGAATTCCTCGAGTATCATCCGTTCCGCTGCTGCCTTTGATTTTCCCTTCTTGTCTGCCTGCTCTGCCTGGGCAAGGAGGCAATTACATGTGGCTTCAGCTACTTCCTTAGTTACAAATGTAAATGGCAATCTGAAATGATTTTTGAAAGAGAAAGATGATGGTGGTGTTAAATAACAGCAAAAGTGGATACATTCTTTCATCTGGAAATCTCTACTGACACTTTCACAATTCACCAGCAGGATGAGCATCACAATTGACACAGTGAGCACAAGCACATCCTAAAAAGGGCTTTAAAAAGTTAGATTTGGTTTTATTATTCACATACTGTAAGAATATTGTTCAGAAAATTTAACATATAAAACACATGACTTACTACCTAGGCAAGGTTATGTGGTTAACTAAAAGATAATAGTCTACATGAAGACTAGAATTTAACTAAAATCCTCCCAAATCATGAATGTACGCTCCAAAAGTTCAATTTTTATTTACTGCTGTTGCTCCAGTGCCTAGAATAGTGCATGACATAGAGACACTACATGTATAGTTGCTAAATGAATAATATTGGGAATTGACAGCACTATCTCTTGAGCAAAATGAAAAATAAAGCACTTTACCATAGTCACTGATACTGTTTGTAGAAAACATTCCAAAATTCTGCATTGTTCTATCACAACAAAACAAAATGGGGAAACCAAATGCCATTCTACACAGAGTTGCATTCATGAAGACCTGAGCTATTGAGTATTAAATTGGAGCAGCCCATTGTGAGGCTTGCTATATTTGCAGCCAACTCAAGTCTTAAAGCCTGTGACAGATTAAGTCAAGCAACATAATCTAACCACGAACTCAACAACCTGTGAGTAAGCGGTCACTAACAAGTATACTAAACGATGAAGTCTGAAATTAAAGCTCACTATGGCAAGAAAGGGTAATTGAGAATTCAGGCTGCCATGCAGCTGTATAGGAATCTTTAACATACAAACCAGCATTTTAAACTAGAAAATATTAATTTAAGGTTTTGGTCACTTGAAACAAGCTTGTTAACATGCTAGCATAACTTTTTTTATACAAGTTTTTAATACGTAGTTTTGATTATAATGTATAATTTTATAATTTTGTTTTCATATCATAAACATCTTCCCAATTTTAAAAAATTATAAATATTTTACTGTGGCAGTATCTTTAATCTCCACGTGGAGATTATATTCAGTACTCTAGAGACCAGAATCCCAGGTTATAAGCCTCATGAAGGTGTCTGATCATTTCCACTTTATTCAGTCAAAAACTATTTGCTGCTTATATTCCAGTCATAAGAGTTCTTGAGACTTAATATCTTAAAGCCAGGTGCAGTGGCTCACTCCTGTAATCCCAGCACTTTAGGAAGCTGAGATGGACAGATCACCTGAGGTCAGGTATTCAAGACCAGGCTGGCCAACACAGACTTCATCTCTACTAAAAATACATAAAATTAGCTGGGCGTGGTGGTGTATGCCTGAATTCCCAGCTACTTAGGAGGCTGAGGCAGGAGAATTGCTTAAACCCAGGAGGCGGAGTTGCACTGAGCTGAGATCATGACACTGCACACCAGCCTGGGCAACAGAGTGAGACTATCTCTCAAAAAGAAAAGAGAAAAAAACAAAACAAAAAACTAGTATCTTAAATGTTTGTTTAAAAAAAAAAAAAAAAGCCTTATTTTTATAAGCACTGGATCTCCTTTTCAACTTAGGCATTTTATTTTTGAGATGGAGTTTTGTTCTCATTGCCTAGTCTGGAGTGCAATTGTGCGATCTCAGCTCACTGCAACCTCTGCCTCCCGGGCCCAAGCGATTCTCCTGTGTCAGCCTCCCAAGTAGCTGGGATTACAAGCGTGCACCACACACTCAGCTAACTTTTTGTATTTTTAGTAGAGATGGGGTTTCACCATGTTGGCCAGGCTGGTCTCAAACCCTTGACCTCAGGTGATGCGCCCACCGCGGCCTCCCAAAGTGCGAGGATTATAGGCGTGAGTCACCGTGCCTGGCCTACTTAGGCATTTTAAATCATATGCCATTTGCAAGGTGCATTCCATTTAATAATTCCTCAAATTAACCTCTAACAAACTTTCTAATACCAGTCCAGTCCAAATCACAAACTATGTTTTATCAGGTCTTGACAGACACTGGAGATATTACAGACATGCCTTATTTCTCACAGCCACCCGGTATAGGCTATTTTAAGGACAAGAAAACTGAGGCTCAAAGAAATTCACAAACTACTAAGCAGCACAGATAGTATAAACTCAAGTCTACCTGACTTTAGAGGTCAAACTTTTCTACTCCAGAACTCAGCAGATAAGAGATAACAATAAGGAGCTGCACTATTACAGTGTGATGGGTGGCCCAATAGGATGGGAAAACTGCTCCAAGAAATGGAAGAGGCAAGAGAAGGTAAGAAAATGCAAAAACATAAATAATTACACGTTCAGCGAGACATATGAAACATCTGGTTTTCTTTGGGATTCCTCAAATTACATAATTACCTCATCTTAGTAGGAATTAAGCACAGTGGACTAAATCATTACTGTGCATTTTCGAACTGCCCAATAATCTGACAGTGGCTTCTGTTACCTTTAAATTCCTTTACAAGTAACTAAAGATGGAAAGAAAATGCAAAAATCAGGTTTGCAACAACCAAAAGTATAAACTCAACTTTGCCCCCTGAAAAGAAACTTTATCAAAAGTGAGTATTTGGGAAATACTATAAAAAGATTAAAATACTGACTTACTTTCCGCCTCCACTATTTAAAGCTGGTGTTGGCCTAGTAAGCAAGTCTGAAATTTGAGAGGATAACTTCGTCTTGGCTGCTGTTTGTTGCTGTACCCTTACTTCAGCTGCATCTGCCAAATGCATCAATGTCTTCCTTTCCGGGCTTTCTTCAAAATTCTTACAGCCAATACATTTGCATATTGAGGAACACATTATTTTTGCCTAAAAGATTTACAAAAGAAAAGTTTCCAAATCAAAACCAAAATACATTACTGGAAGTAGATGCCATGATCAAATCAACAGCTAATAGCATTACCTGGTCAACTGATAATAAGATTAGATGGAAGCATCTCTGGCTGACAAACAGTAACTACACATGTGGCTAGCTAGGTTAGGTATTCTTAAGTCTGACAGTGGCTGTATAACATTTGTGGCTGTGTCCTTCCATGTCAGTTTTCCCCCACTATGGATATAGATTTTCCTCAGATATGAATAACACATGTTTTTCATAACATGAATGATACATTAAAATATCAAAAATAAGGGTCATCCAGAATCCAGCCACCTCAATCAAATCATCACTAACATGTAGATGACCTCCCATTTATGCATATGTATATAATTTCATATTAAAGGGATTTCATAGATGCTATTTTTATTATTCTATTATGCTATTTTAATCTGAAGAGGGAGTTCGGGAGGGACTTCAGATTCTCAAAACCCTTCAATAACCCATATGAAACTAGGGTGTGTTTTACATTTTATATAAATATATATTTTCATGTAAAAATGTCATATATTTATATAAAACTGTAGACCTTATGTATATACACAAATACAGAACTTTCACTTTTTAGTTTTTCAAAATCACATACCTGCTTTTCTGCATCTTGCTTTTCTTATACTACAACTCATGGAATCCCTCCAAAGTCATCTGGCATAGCTTGAATTCATTGTATTTAACGGCTAAGTGTAAATCCCTGGTATGATGTGTCTATTTTTTTGGCCTTTCATTTTCCCTGTTGATGGGTGTTTATTTTTGTTTCCAGTTCTTGGGTACCACAAATGATGCATAAAGAGTATTTTTTTTGGTATACATTATGCCTTTTTATTTATCTGAGTTAGATTTCTAGAATTGGGCTCACTGGATAACAGGTCGTGTATTTTAATTTTTTTTCTTTTTTGAGACGGAGTCTCGCTCAGTCACCAGGCTGGAGTGCAGTGACACGATCTCAGCTTACTGCAAGCTCCGCCTCCTGGGTTCACACCATTCTCCTGCCTCAGCCTCCCAAGTAGCTGGGACTACAGGCTCCCACCGCCACGCCCAGCTAATTTTTTGCAATTTTAGTAGAGAGGGGTTTCACTGTGTTAGCCAGGATGGTCTCGATCTCCTGACCTAGTGATCCGCCTGCCTTGGCCTCCCAGAGTGCTGGGATTACAGGCGTGAGCCACCGTGCCCAGCCAGATTGCTTTTTCAAACGGCTGTAATACCTCACATCTCATAAGCGACGTGTAAAGGAAGGATTTCCCACATTCCCTCCAACAATGGATATTATAATTCCTTTTAACATTTTATGCCAGGCACGGTGGCTCATGCCTGTAATCCCAGCACTTTGGGAGGCTGAGGTGGGAGGATCACCTGAGGTCGGGAGTTCAAGACCAGCCTGACCAACATGGAGAAACCCCGTCTCTACTAAAGAGAAAAAAAAATTAGCCAGTGGCACATGCCTGTAATCTCAGCTACTCGGGAGGCTGAGGCAGGAGAATCGCTTCAATCCTGGAGGTGTGGAGGTTGTGGTGAGCCGAGATCACGCCACTGCACTCCAGCCTGGGCAACAAGAATGAAACTCCGTCTCAAAAAAAAAAAAAAAAAAAAATTTATAATCTGATGGTGTGGGTGATAAAGTGAGATTTCACTGTTCTTTAATTTATATTTCCCTGATTTCTAATGAATTTTAGTATGTTTTTGTTAGCTGCATTTTCTTCAGCGAACCCATGTCTATATAAATAAATAAAACTGTCCTTTCTCTCTATACCACCTAGTAAGATAAATGGACTGCATTATAAACACATTTACTCTGCTCCTTTCTTATAAGACACCAATAAATTCCATTTACCAAAGGAATAAATGGATATAAGTTTGTGTTAACTGGGTTACTATGAGCCTGACTAGTAATCTAACTAAAGCAATACTTAATAAGCATCTAGTGATGAAGAGAGAAAATTCCTGACCTCAGAGTGGGGAAAACATACCAATAATGGTAATTTAGATGATATATATATATATATATATTTTTTTTTTTTAATTCTCTTTATATTTTAAGAACCATAAGAAAGACATTAATAGTGTCTAACCGGAGCTCAGGATGGAGAAATTACAATGACACTTAGCTTGGCTAATTTAACTTCCCCTGTACAAAAAAAAAAAAAAAAAAAGACGTGGACGGGAGGAAAAAGGTCACAAGAAAAGACACAACCATGAAATAAGGTGGGTAGCCATTCATCCAATCAGCAAGCCTATAGGCATTGAAAGGAAACATGAATGTGTTGTCCAGATGCAAACCAACGGGATTAAAAAGCCAATTCAGCTGAAGAAAAAGGTGTCAAAAGAACAATTCAACACAAAATGTCAGATAAGCCCACAGCTAATTTACAGCCAATTAGCCGCTGCTATTCATAGTTCAGTATATTCTAAGTTTCTCCATTTTTTGGTACATAACTTTTGGAATGATAAATTTGTTACTAGACAGTGTATCTGTCCTGACAAAACTTCATTAGAATAGGTAGGGCAGGGCTCTCTCTTCAAACTTTTCAACCAGTCCAGTACCTTTTCTACTTCTATTAATTCACAGATTTGTTAACCAGTTCAATTAAATGGTTAGTTCATATATGTCTGAATTTCATATGCCCAGCATGTATTGATTATTCAATGCCATATACATGAAAGGGTCGCTTTGCCCTTCTGATCCAACTTTACATAAATTTCCACGTTCTCAAAAGAAGTGTTGGCCAGTTGCAGTGCCTGACGCCTGTAATCCCAACACTTTGGGAGGCCGAGGCGGCCGGATTACAAGGTCAGGAGATCAAGACCATCCTGGCTAACACGGTGAAGCCCCGTTTCTACTAAAAAATACAAAAACATTAGCCAGGCGTGGTGGCGGGTGCCTGTAGTCCCAGCTACTCGGGAGGCTGAGGCAGGAGAATGGTGTGAACCCAGGAGGCGGAGCTTGCAGTGAACCGAGATCGCACCACTGCACTCCAGCCTTGGCCACAGAGTGAGACACCGGCTCAAAAAAAAAAAAAAAAAAGTGTTAATTTTTACATACATATTCATGACAACTTTTGCATGGCTTCTAAACGCAAGCTAGTTATTTCATCAGGTATTCAAAAGAAGAAAGACTAAAAAAGATTCCAACACTGGATGAAACTGGCTTGTTGGATTTGGAGATGTTCCTTAAGACAGTTTAAAAAATCAAGTTGTGACGGTGGCTTACGCCTTTAATCCCAACACTTTGGGAGGCTGATGGGTGGGTAGATCACTTGAGTTCGAGACCAACCTGGCCAACGTGGTGAAACCCTGTCTCTATTTAAAAAAAAAAAAAATACAAAACTTACCTGGGCATGGTGGCAGACGCCAGTAATCCCAGCTACTTGGGAAGCTGAGGCAGGAGAATCACTTGAACCCAGGAGGCGGAGATTACAGTGAGCCAAGATCGCACCACTGTACTCCGGCCTGGGCGACAGGGCGAGACTCCGTCGCAAAAAAACAACAACAACAACAACAAAAAACTTGTCTCTTTATGCAATTTTCATTCAGATCATCTGCAGAACTCACAAGATGTTACTCTCCTACTTTACTTCCTGAGAGTAGTATTTGACTTTGTAAATAAGTAGATTAGGAAAGAATTCATTTGCATTCACAGCAAATGCAATACACAAAATCTTTCATGTGACACGTGCTGCATAGGAGAGGGCACTGAACTGGAGGACATGCTCCTGTGGCAGGGCAAACCTTCAGCAAGTGCAAAGCTAGGCTTTCTGCCAATAAATAAATAAACTAATTAATTAATTCTCTTTTGAGAATAAGAAAGAATGAAAATATATGAGAGTAAGAGAAGAGCCAAGAACAGGAATAACACAACCACCCAAAACACTGTCAGTAAAGTTTCAGGCATACCCAGAAACCAATTATGGTAATCTAGGGTTAATCTCAATCACTAGATTGTTACACATAAGCTTCTAAAATAAAACTATACAGAACTGTGTCTAAAGCAAGAAGGCGAAGATTTACATGCCTTTTGTCAAAGCAGTTTCAACTACATCTTCCAGAGAAGATGTCTGACCCAGAAGTAAAAAGAACCAGCTCAGTGGAACAACAAAACGGTGAAAATGGAGACAATCGCCTGCCGTGACCAGTAACCTCATCCAGCAATGTGCCAGATCCCCCTTTCCTATTTTTATGCTCACAAAGCAAACTTCTTAACATACTTTGGTTTTCCACAGAGCAGTGTGCTTTTCGAGTGGGCATAACCAGCATTTTGATCAAGATAATCCTTTAATTTCCAGACTGTACCGTGGGATGCAGGCTATTTTGTTTGTATCTATCTATCTATCTATCTATCTATCTATCTATCTATCTATCTATCTATCTATCTAATCTATCTATGACAGAGTCTTGCTCTGTTGCCCATGTTAGAGTGCAGTGACATGATCTCGGCTCACTGCAGCCTCCACCTCCCGGGTTCAAGCGATTCTTGTGCCTCAGCCTCCTGAGTAGCTGGGATTACAGGCGCCCGCCACCATGCCCAGCTAATTTTTATATTTTAGTACAGACGGGGTTTCACCATGTTGGCCAGGCTGGTCTCGAACTCCTGACCTCAAGTGATCTGCCCGCCTCTGCCTCCCAAAGTGCTGGGATTACAGGTGTGAGCCACCGTGCCCGGCCATATATTTCTAAGAAGCCTGTGAAGAACAATAAGAACTGCACCTCAGGTGAGAATCACTGCTGGAGAGTTTCCAATCCACTTTGATACTATTATTTTTATTGAAAATCAGTATATTGGTGTTCTGATCTGCATGCATATTTCTGGGCATAATGGTCAAGAAGTTATGGTAAATCACCCAATAAGACCCCAGGCTGTAATAGTAAACCCAAGGTATTCCTCCGAAGCCCTGCTAAGGAGGCTCGAAAGCCTGCCTCATATTTCCTCAAACAAGGGCCTCTGTGCCAACTGCGCATATTTTCAAACTGCAATAGCAAGGTGATTTCCCAATTTTCAAGTAAATTTTTGTAGTATGTCCTTTCTAAAATATCTTAAAAGATATTATTTTCACCACCCAGCATCTCACCTCATAGCATTCACAGTAGTTTTTAAGACATCCTGATCGTTTGCAATTACATCCTTTGCTATGACGTCGATCAGATTCTCCCTCCTTTCCTTTCCCAATCTTAGGCTTAAAGGCTTCTGGATTTCTGTCAAGGCATGCCTAGCAAAACAGATCAAATATCAGAGTTAAATCACAGTAGATGAAATTTAAACACTGCAAAAGGAATTGAAATGTTTCTTTGCAAGACAACTGAGTTATTTAAAAAATTGGTGAAACTGGATATTTCTGTCAGTTAAATGAAATAAAAAATAATCACCTTTATTGCTTTTTGCCTTTCATTTTCATGTTCCAAATTGTTATAACAATTAGTACAATTGCAGTTGTTGCAAAATTCACCATTTGCAAAGCAATCACAATATCTGAAAGGTAAAAGTCAGTATAAGTAAAAAGTCATTATTAAGGAAAACTACTAATTACCTGATTATATATGCATACATTATATATATATATTGTACATGTACTACATATGTGGTAAATCATTTCAGAAATCTACTCAGCTACCCAGTTGAAGAGTTAACGACATATATTGTCAACCGCATACTAAGGCTCAAAGTTTAAAATCACCAAGTCCTAGAATTTTGACCTAAAAAACTTAGTCCAACCAGTAACAGCTATCGCACAAGAGCTATATAATTTTATGTGCCCCCAAAGTCAGGCATTTCACAATTCTGAAAAAGGAAGAACACTGGCTATATTCTAATAGTTGAACTGGCTCATTTGAGTTACAGTAGTACTTCTTTGGATTCTATGCCCCAATAAGACTAATGCTTTTCATTTAACTAGTTCATGTCAAATCTTTATAATGCTAATAAGCAAATTAACCATTCAATGATTTTTAAAACTACCTAGAGTATCATCTCTTCACATAGTAGACCAAATACAAAAGTCATGAATGAGATCAAACATTATTAAGGGCAGAAGCTATGTCTGTCTCATGCTGCTATGTCCCTAACCCCTACTCCAGTGATTCATGTATAGTAAGGACTCTAATATTCCTTTCTAAAATGAATGAAATATTTTTATACTGCCATATATGTGCAAACATTGACTTATATGTTTATTTAAATTACTTAGACTTACAAGCTTTGGTCTGTTAAAAATTTTTAGTTAACTCCATTTACTTTTAAGAGCATTTCTAATTATATTAAATGAGCAAAGAGTGGCAACAACACTTACAATTTCAAACACAGTGATTTTGTACAATTACAGGGCTTTCGGGGCCGACTGGCAGACTCTGATGGGATTATGCTGTACAGATAGAAAAAATATATACATTTAATCAATTAATAGTAACTAAAATTAATTTAGTTGCTACAATTAATTTAAAATTTTAAAAATTAGACCTAAAACTAATTTAAGATTAGAAAAGTCTCCAATCTATAAATCGTTCCAGAAATAAAGTTTTAACCAATGTTAAATGTGTCCATCTAAAATAAAAAGTTTGCTATGTTGTTCTGTTTACATTAGGTCCAAAGGCAAGTTGTAACATGAAAAGAGGTAAAGACAAGATATGGAATAATTTTTTAAAAAGAAGTTATCAATAGCTGCTAAACAACACTCCACAAACACTGTCCCTTCTAAGAAAACAAAGTTGAGATTGCCTCAAAACTCTTGGGATTCAAGTATAAAAAGGCAGTGAGGAAAAGGAGTGTGTGGAGGAGGAAATGGAAGTGGGATGTGGACTGATTCTGGGTAATTAAGCACTGCTTCTAAGCTGATATTGCAAAGGCAGTAATTAACAGATAAATAAACATCAACAAAAAACAAGGACCTAACATAATTTTTAAAATAGTTGGGCAGGTGCAGTGGCTCAAGCCTGGAATCCCAGCACTTTGGGAGACTGAGCCAGGAGGATCACTTGAGCCCGACTTGGAGATTAGCCTGGGCAATATAGTGAGACTGCATCGCTACCAAAAAATTTAAAAATTAGGAGAGCATGGTGGCCTGCGCATACAGTTCCAGCTACTCAGGAGGCTGAAGCAGGAGGATTGCTTGAGCCTGCGAGGTGGAGGTTGCAGTGAGCTGAGATCACAGCACTGCACTCCAGCCCGGGCAACAGAGCAAGACCTTGTCTCGAAAAATAAAGATAAAAAATAGTTAGCATCATCATTTTGGAAACATACTCAGAATGAAAGAGAATAATAAAACCAATGTAGCAAAATTGGTGAACCTGAATAGAGTATTTGGGAATTGACTATTTCTGTAATTTTTCTGTTTGAAATATTTCAACAAGTATTTTAGAGGCATGCTCACATAGCTTTGAGGGGAAAAAAGTCAAAGAGGATGTAGTTTGGAATATATATATTTATTGTTGCATTTAAGCTGATCTAACAACTTATGTACCTATTTTCAAAATACTCACCCATTGAATGGAAGCCGTGCCTGGGTCTGGATACCAGATGTTCCAGTAAAGGTAGAGTTGCTTGCTATTGATACATATGAAGACTGCTGTAGCTACATGTAAAGAAAATTAATTTTAGATCATATTTCCAAAAACGGACAATATTCTCAGGTATGATAAGGTAAGCAATACAAATTCATCTATTAAAATAAGAAAAACACAATGGAGAATTTCATACAAACACATACTTCACAGAGCTCTTTTAAAGACTCAAACCAATACTATAGGTGAAAATAATGTGAACATTTTATAGTACTACATAGTACAAATATAAAGAAAGTATTTCACAGAAGAGTTAAGTATGTCAGAATGATAGGAAATTCTAGATGAATGCTCTCGAAGTACTGTAATAACTTGTTTTGGCTAGAAAAATGCAATGTGCCTACTTACAAATAAAACAGGTACTATATTGATCATTTATCACACTACAAATTACAGAGAATAAGTTACATGCACAATAGTTGAGTTTCTATTTTACACCAACTTCTAAACATTAGAAATGCTTATGACAAAAATACTGAACATTATTCTTTTTATCAATAGTCACAAAACATATTCCAAAGTATATTTCATTAAAAAGTACACGTGTGGGTTTGTTTCCCTGGCTTTCATTCTAAAGATGACCAGTAAGAGTAGACAGATCGCTAAAGATACGTCACCTGGAAATGCATCTCACAGTTTATTTTCCAATAAATAAACTTGGACTTATTTTCCAAGTCAGTGGCATCAAACTGATGTGTGAGGAAGAGCTTTGTAACAGCCACGGTCTTTTCTAAATTCATTTGGACTCTGCCGATTTTAACTTCAGTCTATTTTCTATCATACCGCCACAGCCTTGTGCTCTTGCCAAGCTGCTCTCAGCTCCAAATTGTCTGACTTGTATATCTGACCTCTGTTATATATTTCTAAATGCTAAAGGTACATAGAAATAAACTTAAAGGTTTGGGTTAACATTTTAAGATTTTGGAAAGTGCCACTTCAATACTGAGTTAGATGTGTTTGAGTAGTTTCTGTGATAGCACTAGACATCTTGGACCCCGTTATCACTTTTGCAATACAATGACTTCATTTTTTCCACATACCTGAGTAACATACTGAGCTGGAAGCACTGCATAACCCACATTCCCTGTTCCCGGAGCCGGTGCCAGGACAGTGCCTGGTGGCAGGTTAGTGAGGTTGGGCTGGATCTGTGGCAGTGGTGTGGCAGGCATGATAAGCCGTTGCTGTGGCTGGCTAGTAGTTACTATTTGTGAAGTTGGATTGATTGGTTTTGGAACAACCTAAAAAGAAGGGACATACATCAGTGACCACAAAATAAATTTTACAGCTGTTCAATTCAGTATAAATCTCTTGCACCTAAATCTTAACGTTCTATTTAAAAAGTAACTCGTCTATTTGGGAAAGACTCAGAAAGAAGTTATGTGATACTCACTTGTTTGACAGCCTGAGCTGAGACAATTGGAACTGACATCCGCACTGGGGTTGTATTAACAACCACTGGCTTTGCTTTTTAAAAAACAAAAAAAGGGTGAACAAGTTATTTACAGAAAATAGTATTTAAAACACTTAAGAATACTTAGCTTTCCCAAGTTTTTCTCATAAAAGAGCTTAAAGAATTCCATTTGATTCCTAATTTGAGCAATCTTTAATCAGGATAGTTACCTTTCAAAATCGCTTACCCCATCTACCAGAGAACTTATATCTAAGGTGGCTACAGTCTATCCACTTTATGAAGGAATATTTGTAGGTTCAAGACATTCAAATGAAAATACCTCAATCTGTATTCAGATGATTTATACATTCAGTACCTAATCCAGTCAAATGAAATGTATAAATAAAAGAACTGTCATTCATAAGCTTGAGTAACAACAGCACTCTATACTACTATTTCTAATTGCTGTTTCTATTCAAACCACAGAATATGTCATTCTTGGGTTTTTTTTTTTTTTCTCTCTCTTTTTTTTTTTTTTTGAGACGGAGACTCGCTCTGTCTATCACCCAGGCTGGAGTGCAGTGATGCAATCTCAGCTCACTGCAACCTCCGCCTCCCAGGTTCAAGCGATTCTCATGCCTCAGCCTCCCAAGTACCTAAAATTACAGGCGCACGCCACCACATCCGGCTAATTTTTGTATTTTTAGTAGAGACTGGGTTCTGCCATGTTGGCCAGAATGGTCTCAAACTCCTGACCTCAGGTGATCCACCCGCCTCGGCCACCCAAAGTGCTGGGATTATGGGCGTGAGCCACTGCACGCAGCCAGTGTAATTCAATATTTACAGAATACATACTAAAAGGCAGCACAGCAAAAAGGATAAGAACATGGGCTCTAAAGTTATAAGACCCAGGGCATTAAAATCCCAGTTCTGCTGTCTTCTAAGCACTTAAGCTCTCTTTGCCTGTATCCTCATCTGCAATATGGGGAGCATCTACCTTATGGCATATGAGGGTTAAGTATATGATAATTCATGAAAATTGATCGGAACACTGCCCAACAAACAGTAAATGCTCACTAAATATTAGCTGCCATCATTGTTGTTACAACTGCTGCTACTATATAAATGGCACTGTGGACATTGTTTCAGGAAACCTAAAGCACTAGACCTCTGCTGTCAGGGAGATTACAATCTAGTTCAGCAGATTAGGCAGGTGCCCAAATAAGACAAATAAATATAAATATATATAGTTTTTTTTTTTTTTTTTTGTAGATGGAGTCTTGCTCTGTCCCCCAGGCTGGAGTGCAGTGGCGTGATCTCGGCTCACTGTAAGCTCCCCCTCCCAGGTTCACGCCATTCTCCTGCCTCAGCCTCCCGAGTAGCTGGGACTACAGGCACCTGTCACCACACCCGGCTAATTTTTTTGTATTTTTAGTAGAGACAGGGTTTCACCGTGTTAGCCAGGATGATCTCAATCTCCGGACCTCGTGATCCGCTCGCCTTGGCCTCCCACAGTGCTGGGATTACAGGTGTGAGCCACCGCGCCCGGCCAAGATAAATATTATTAAAGAAGATACATGAAGAGCTGTGGGAGTTTAGAGGAAAGAGGATATATAATTTGCAGAGGATGGAAATATAGAAAAAGCACATGGAGGACAGAGTACTGAGATGGGCCCCAATCAATAGGCCGGCCGCATGGAGGGCACACAGACTGGAGAAGGGCATTTCACGCAGAGACAGAAACATGAGAAGTGGAGGCTTAATCTTGGGAAGCTGCAAAGCATAGTCACAAATGTTGGTGAACAAACCACCTGGCTAATACCTGGGATTAACGTAGACAAACACAGGCAAAAAGGCAGATTGCAGACATTTATTGAGGACCTTGAATGTTAGGGTAGGACTCTATATTTAATCTGTATTTTTAATTCAGTATGCAATGAGAAGTTTCTAGGGATTTTTAAATACAGAAATTATATTGAAATAAAAATTAATTGTATTTGGCAGCAGTGCATGAAACAGAATGGAGTTGCAAGAGACAAGTCAGAAGAGTGCACAAAAATGAGGGTCTGATCTGGAGTGACAGCAATGGGAATAAAACAGAGAGAGCAGATGCAGGAGACCTGGTGTAGGTGAAAGGATCTGACTTACCAACCAACCACTGAATGGTAGGAACTGTAGGTATAAGCGAAGAAAATGTAACCACTGCAGAGCTTTCAAGTGACCAGGAAAATGACAGTTATTAGAACTAAAAACTCAAGAATGAGCTGTTTTGAAGGGAGGATGAAACTTGACATGGAGAAATACTGGGATGAAATTCAGGAAAGACATTGGCACTAGACATATACGTTTGGACCAACAAGAAGTGCAGTTTTAAAAACTGCCTACTGCCATTTCCACTGTTAAAAGCAGACATTTAAGAAGATAGAAATGACATCTCTTCAGGTTTCATTGATGTAAAAGTAAGGCCTAGAGCCTGGTCTGAAAGAGAGGTTGAGACAATTCTCAACAAAACAAAAAAGAATAAATTTCCTTAGATAGAAAGGCTACTATGATATCAGCAGTTTTGTTTTTTTTTTGTTTTTGTTTTTGTTTTTTTTTTTGCTTTTGGTGGGGACTGGAAGGATGATGGCTAAAGACCAAAAAGCTGAGAGTCCTAGAAGAGAATCTTAGAGTAGGCACTCTGATTTAAAAGGCAGCAGGCCACTGCAGCAAGGTGACAAACTAGGGGGAAGGAGGGAGAGGAGGAGATGTCTAGAGAGAGTATATGATTAGTGGTGATGGTCGCACAATTTTGTGAATATACTAAAAACCAGTCAATTGTATGCTTTGAAAAGGTGAACTTTATGGTATATGTGAATTACATCTCAGTAAGGTTGTTATACAAAGAGTGTATGACTGTCTTCCTGTATGAAATACTGGAGCAGTGTGACATCTGATACCTAGTTTGAAGTTGTTTCTGTTCTGTTTGAATTTTCCTCAATTATACTGAAGCATTAGCAAGGTTGTAATAACCATTGTAGATTGGTCTCAGCAATGCTAGAAGGAATTAAAAGGAGAGCCTGAATTCCCGCTTAGGACACAGCAGAGTGGACTCCCTCCACCACCTGCTCCTGGGAGAGATGACAGTCACTGTTCCATGAGCACAGTGCAGTGATTCTGAAGTGAGAGCAATGACCAGTGGAATCCAAAAACATCCTGGTGGTCCTGAGAAATAACTGGGAAGGAGAGTGACCTGCCCTCCATCACATTAAATGGGGACTATCCCTGCCCTCTCCTCATACACATGCACAAATGTGTGTGTGCACACACAGTCACACACACACAGACACACACACACCCTCCCTGGCCCGGTAAAAAAAACTTAGAAACTCAAATTTACATAGGTTTGACACTTGCATGCTGAGTTTTAACTGAAGCCTGGGGAATGTAGAAAATATAAAATCAAGTGGTCATAAAACAGAATACTATAAAATACCTATGGAAGGGGATGTTACGTAACTAAGTCAACTGTCTGCATTTCTCCTCCTCCTTACCTTAGCGCACATTACTAACTACTACTTCAGTTTTCATAGAGGCTGGCATAATTGTTTAGTGTTTAGTCTTTGGCAGGAACTCTGAACAATCCTTTAGAATATCCTCCTTCCAAACTTCAGAAACCATACCTGCAAGTGTTTGAGGCTTTTTAACTTCTTAAAGTGGTTTCCTCCCTCACCGAGATGATAGGCTGTATTCTGAAAAGCATAACCAAGCACTTTCCTGAGTTCTTCTACTATGCTGCCCACCATTGAACTAGTGATTAACATGGTGGAGCCTTTGAACATTAGTTCTTGTACAACTTTTGGGGAAAAATGTACAAGATAAGCCCCTTTGGCATTTAAGTAAATTCTTCATAAAGAGACATTAATATATTTGATAAACTAGAGCAACTATTTAGTGTAACTCTAATAAAAATTGGATTTGTTATTCCTGTGAAATAATATATATTATATATATCCAGATCTTTTATGGGACAGGAGAGAAAGACAAAAAGAGAAAAATATAGATGGATATAAGGGAAATAACATGGGCAGTATATGTATGTGGCTGGGTGGGAAGAGGGTATAGAGTGAGGTGAAGAAGGCAGAGAGATATAGGTGAGAACAGAGAGGCAATGTTCAAGGTGGAAAGCAAAAAAGGAACCTGAAGGGAAGCAGAAGAGTGGTGAGGGATTGCCAGGTGGCAAGGAGAAAACGAGAAGTAGAGACAGGCAGAAAGACAGATATAAAGCTGGAAATGGAGGCACCAGTCAATACTGAATTTTACTTATTTATTATTATTTTTTTTTGAGACAGAGTCTTGCTCTGTTGCCCAGGCTGGGGTGTAGTGGTGCGATCTCAGCTCACTGCAACCTCTGCCTCCCAGGTTCAAGTGATTCTCCTGCCTCAGCCTCCCAAGTAGCTGGGATTACAGGTGTGCGCCACCACGCCCAGCTAATTTTTGTATTTTTTTAGTAGAGACAGGGTTTCACCATGTTGGCCAGGCTGTTCTCGAACTCTCAACCTCAAGCGATCCGCCCGCCACGGCCTCCCAAAGTGCTGGGATTACAGGTGGGCACCACCGTGCCCAGCCAATACTCTATTTTGAAATGTCCATCCCATTCCTCCACTCTCCCTGGATCTTCCTTATACGAAAGGCATACTCTTCCTAATGAATAAATTAATGTTAACATTAATTAGGTTTAATCCATTATATAGATTCTCAGCATACTATTATACACATACACACACACACATAAAATACAACCAGTTGTATCTAATGACCACTTTCTATCATCATCATCATCGTACTACCTAAGTAGATTGGACTTACAGCACTTCTCTCAGTACCCTGCTAAGTCTAAGTATTGAGAGAATATAAAATTTGACTCCCTTAGTCAATAATATGGATGTTTCAGTTTTCCCCTCACTAAGATTATGATAATGATTTTATTCCAAAATCAGTTTTAAAAAGAATTAGAAAATATAACTGCTTGCTGTGTCTAATTTAATAGAATATGTACTAAAATACTGCTTACTGTTTTCTCCCTTCAGTAATTTGAAAGAGAAATAAATAGGTTTTATTCTTCTATAGGTTCCCTCAGGTGAACCAGCTATTGGCAACAGATAGCTCCAAATCTCTGATCTTTTTTTTTATTTTTTATTTTAGACTACTCAAGTATAGCAGTAAGAAGAGGAAAAAGGTAGAACAAGGAGTTCCAACTGTAACTGTGAAGAATCAATCAAGATAATTCACGACCTTCAGACTACCCTCTGATCTGTTTTGTTTTGTTTTGTTCTGTTTTGTTTTGAGATGGAGTCTCGCTCTGTCGCCCAGGCTGGAGTGCAGTGGTGCAATCTCAGTTCACAGCAACCTCCTCCGCCCAGGTTGAAGCGATTCTCCTGCCTCAAACTCCTGGGTAGCTGGGATCACAGGCATGTGACATCACACCCAGCTAATTTTTATATTTTTAGTAGAGATGGGGTTTCGCCATGTTGGCCAGACTGGCCACAAACTCCTGACCTCAGGTGATCCTTGGCCTCCCAAAGTGCTGGGATTACAGGAGTGAGCCACAGCGTCTGACCTACCCTTTGATCTCTTAATAAAAAAGAGTAACCAACTAGTCTTTAATTCTTCTACTTACTTTCGATAAACAATATATCATTCAATTGCCATCAACTGCTTCTTGACATTGTTAGAATATAAAACAAGGAAACACGTAAGCCCTAAACTATAAACTATCCTGATCCTTTCATATCCTTTAATTTTTAGAAAAGTAGGTAAATATGAAAAAGGTCATTTACGTGTCTATGGATGTATATCAGGTGGTAAAAAGAGTTAAACACAAACACAGAAAATAGTAGGACAACAAACAGGAATATCCTTTAGGGAAAATACAACTAAGCAAAATAAAACATTTTAATCACTTTTTTTTTTTTTTTTGAGATGGAGTCTCACTCTGTCACCCAGGCTGGAGTGCAGTGGCATGATCTTGGCTCACTGCAACCTCCACCTCCCGGGTTCGAGCACTTCTCCTGTCTCAGCCTCCCGAGTAGCTGGGACTACAGGCGCACATCACCACACCTGGCTAATTTTTGTATTTTTAGTTGACAGGGGGTTTCACCATATTGGCCAGGCTGGTCTTGAACTCCTGACCTCAGGTGATCCTCCTGCCTCGGCCTCCCAAGGTGCTGGGATTACAGGTGTGAGCCACCGTGCCTGGCCTTTTAATCACTATTTTAGTAGCAATTATAGATTCAAAATAAGTAAAAGCTGAAAGTGACATTAAGTTCTTACTTACATTTACCTTGCCTATTTGTCATTTCAACTGACCCAAACCCTATCAAGGGGCTTTATAGTTCAGCAAATAAAATACATAATTCGGTTCCATCTAAGTGTATCCCACTGGCATAAATGGCAGGTCTTAAAACCAGCAATAAAATGGCTAACCACAAATTAACAAATAATTACTATTATCTGGTGTAACAGCACACTGTGTACCAACTTCCAGCAGAAAGAATACTACAGTTATACGCAACTCTCATTCTATTTCACTGCCTTCTGCACCAGTTACTGGCTCATACTCAGTTGAAATGCCACTCTTCATCAGGATTTCAGCAAGAAATGGACAAATGTTCTTTAATCATGTTAAAATCAAGAATTACTGTTTTTAAAAAATGGTTACTAACCTTGCTGAAGAGGCTGAGTGTTTGTACTGGGATTCTGACTAACTGGCTGGGTTGAGCTACTGGCTGATGTGGCAGTAACAAGTCGGACATAATGAAACTTGCTTCCAGGCACTTGAATCTGCTGGACATTGGGAGCAGTTGCCAGAGGAATAATTGTCTTAAACTGTGATGTGCTCACTCCTCCAACAGTGATGGTCTGCACAGTTGATTTCACTGCCTATTAAACAATACAACATGGCTGTCATTAATCTGGGATGTAACTTTCCTACTATTTTTAATTTATAACAATTGCTCAAGTTATAAAGTATGCTCCTGTATTGCATCAAAAGCTGCTGAAAGGAACAACCTGTTCAAAGAGAAATGAAAAGAATGGTAATAAATACAGAAATAAAACAAAAATTAATGAGTTCTACCTTCCATCTCTAGTAGTTAACTTCCTTGGTAGTTCATTTCAGATAACTTGCTATGAAGAAATTATTACTTAATTTGCAAGTACTTACACAATTTTGTTACTATCAGGTAAAATTTATAAGAAAAGAATTATTTTAAAATTCCCAGAATTAAGCCCCATATTCAATATAGAGAAAAGATGATACAGATAGTTGTCATTATTGCTACCCACCAAAATAACTACAACAAATTTTATATTCCCATCTTCTGTATGTTTTGTATTTTTAGTAGAGATGGGGTTTCACCATATTGGTCAGACTGGTCTTGAACTCCTGACCTCAGGTGATCCACCTGCCTTGGCCTCCCAAAGTGCTGCATTTTCCCAAAAGAAAAGCCTACCTGATACCCTTACGAAGTTTAGTAAATTCTGAAAGGCATAATACTCCCTAGATATAAAAGTACCCACTAGCATATGGGCAGGAGGCCAAATTCCGTCCAAAATTACCAATTTTGTTTGTCTAGGGAAACTAGTTTTGTATTCCCTAAGTGTGTATCTGTGTGCGTGTGTGTATGTATATACATAGACAGGGTCTCATTCTGTCACCCAGGCTGGAGTGCAGTGGTGCAGTAACGGCTCACTACAGCCTCGACCTCCTGGGCTCAAGCCATCCTCCTGCCTCAGCCTCCTGAGCAAGTAGGACCGCAGGTACCACGCCCAGTTAATTTGTGTGTGATGATGGGGGAGTAGAGACAGGGTCTCACTTTGCTGCCCAGGCTGGTCTTTAACTCCTGGGCTCAAGCAATCCTCCTACCTCAGCTTCCCAAAGGGTAGGGATTACAGGTGGGAGCCACATCATTTTAATTGATTAAAATGATTTAATTATTTTAAAAATTAAAGACTGATACTAATCCTTTTCTTTAGTCCAACAAAAGGCAATGGGAATTCCCCAAAAGCTAAATGAAACATCATAGGCAGAGCAGAACACAACAGTCTTTTGACAAGTCCCTAACTGCTGTTTAACCAATGTACAACACACTGTCATACAATGCAAAGGATCAAATATTCTCTAACCAGATATATAGTATTATTTTATAAATAATTACATCCCCACCTATTCTATAAAAAGCTCTCATGCTAAAAGACAACTGATGTATGATGGAGGAAATCTGTATTCACTATATGGATAATTATGAAACAAGAATTCTAAATACTTTCATAAAAGTCCAGGAGAAAACAAAAATAATGCCATTTAGTTCAGAAACATTACAAAAGACATTACTTCTGCATAAAATAATTCACATATTATCATAAGCAAAAACCAGATTCAAAATAAGAGATAACAGCAGCCATAGCAGTGAATTAAATGAAAACGGAAAGCATAAAAAAAAGGATTAAATGTATAAATATGGAAGCTACTGAAAAATCAAGCAACCTAAGAGACAAATACATACAACAGTGCAAAGGACATAGTCCTTACTATATCCGCTCAACATGGAGGAAAAACACTAAGTATATTAGGAAACAAGGTGCTTGAAACATAAGAGTTACATTTATTGGGTACTTAATATGCATGGAGGATAGTACTAAAAATTCTATAGAAGACTATCTGATCTAACAACCACATTATGAGGTAGTTATGGCATGGCATAGTACAGGGACTGGTTTAACTAAGTTTGTTTAGTATAGATTTTTCTATTGTTCTTCTAAAAGTACATTTGATTGTGTATATTTAAGGTGTATCACATGATGTATGGGATACATATAGCAAAATGTGTATCAATGTTACTATAATGAAGCAAATCAATATATCCATCATCTTGCATAGTTTTCCATTTTGTTTTTGTGGCAAGGGCAGTTAAAATCTACTTATTTAGCAGGAATCCCAAATACTGTACAATTTCGTTACTTACAGTCTTAACACTGTATATTAACACTTGTTCATCCTACATATCTATTATTCTACAACCTCTGACCTAGTTCCTCTGCTACCCCCACCCAGTAAACCAGTTTTATTTTCTATCTCTGTATATTTGACCATTTTTTTCCAGATTCCACATATAAGTGAGATCATGCAATATTTTTCTTTCTGTTTCTCTTAGCATAATGCCCACCAGATTCATCCATGTCGTGGCAAATGGCAAGGTCTTATTTTTCAAGGCTGAATAATATTTTATTTTATGTATATACTACAGTTTCTTTACTCATTCATCTGTCAACAGGTTGTTTTCATATCCTGGTTATTGTGAATAGTGCTATAATAAACATGGAAGTGCAGATATCCTCATGAGGTGGTGATCTCATTTCTTCTGAACATATTCCCAGAAGAGGGATTGCTGGGTCATGTGGCAGTTCTATTTTGAATTTCTTTAGAAACCTCCACACTGTTTTCCATAATGGCTGCACCAATCTACATCCCCACAATCAATACACAAGAGTTCTATTTTCTGCACATCCTCACCACATTTATTATGTTAACTTTTGATAATAGCCATCCTAATGGGTGTGAAATGGCATCTCATAGTGGCTCTCATTTCCATTTCCCTGATGATTAATGATGTTGAATACATTTTCATATGTCTGTTGGCCATTTTTGTATCTTTGCAGAAATGTCTATTCAGGTACTTTGTGTATTTTTTAATTGGGTTGTTTTTCTACTAAGATGTATGAGTTCTTTTGTTGTTGATGCTGTTGTTGAGATGGAGTTTCACTCTGCCGCCGAAGCTGGAGTGCAGCGGTGCCATCTCCACTCACTGCAACCTCTGTCTCTTGGGTTCACGTGATGCTCCTGCTTCAGCCTCCCAAGTAGCTGGGAAATCAGGCGCGTGCCACCATGCCCGGCTAATTTTTGTATTTTGAATAGAGGCGGGGTTTCACCATGTTGGCCAGGCTGGTCTCGAACTCCTAACCTCAAGTGATTGGCCTCCCTCAGCCTCCCAAAGTGCTGGGATTACAGGCATGAGCCACTGCACCCAGCCTGAGTTCTTTCTAAATTGTAGATTTTAACCTCTTATCAGATATACGGTTTGCAAATGTTTTTTCCTCAATCCATAGGCTGCCACTTCATTTTATCATTTCCTTTTTGTGCAGAAGCTTTTTTGTTTAATGCAGTCCATTTATTTTTGCTTTTTTTTTTTTTTCCAGATGGAGTCTTGCTGTGTCACCCAGGCTGGAGTGCAGTGGCGTGATCTTGGCTTGCTGCAACCTCTGCCTCCCAGGTTCAAGCGATTCTCCTACCTCAGCCTCCCAAGTAGCTGGGATTACAAGAGTGTGCCACCACAACTGGCTATTTTTTGCACTTTTAGTAGACACGAGGTTTCACCATGTTGGCCAGGCTGGTCTTTAACTTCCGACCTCAAGTGATCTGCCTGCCTCGGCCTCCCAAAGTGCTGAGATTACAGGCGTGAGCCACCATGCCTGGCCTCTATTTTAGCTTTTGTAGCCTGAGTTTTTGGTCTGATATCAAAAATAAATAAATAAATTTCCAAGACCGATATCCAGGAACCTTTCCTCTATGTTCTCTTCTAGAAGTTTTATAGTTTCAGGTCTTACATTTAGGTCTTTTATTCATTTTGAGTTGATTTTTATATATGGTTCAAAAGCCCAATATTGGCTGGATGTGGTATCATTTAATCACCAAAACAAGGCTGAAGTGCAGTGGTGCAATCTCGGCTCACTGCAACCTCCACTTCCCCAGTTCAAACGACTCTCCCACCTCAGCCTCCCAAGTAGCTGGGATTTACAGGCGTGTGCCACCAAACCCAGCTAATTTTTGTGTTTTTAGTAGAGATGGGGTTTCACCATGTTGGTCAGGCTGGTATATGAGAGCTTTTAATCAGATTGGCAAAGACTGAAAATGACTGATTAACAGGAGAACATAAAAACAGACCACACCCAACGCAATCAGCTGACCTCTGACAATGCACCAGAAGCAATTCAATGAGGAAAGGACAGTCTTTTCAACAAATGGTACTGGTACAACAGAATATCCACACGCAGCCTGTCACCCAGGCTGGAGTGCAGTGGCATGATCATAGCTCACTGCAGCCTCAAACTCCTGGGCTCAAGCGATCCTCCTGCCTCAGCCTCCCAAGTAGCTAGACTATGTGCTCATCATCTTGCCTGCCTAATTTTATTTTTATTTTTTGTAGAGACCAAGTCTCACTGTGTTGCCCAGGCTGGGCTCAACCTCCTGGCCTCAAGTGATCCTCCTGCCTCAGCCTCCCAAAGTGAAATATATTTCATTCTGCTTTTTAGTTATTCTTGGTAGAAGGGTTAGTGCAACAAGCTAGTTCTATATAGTCAAAAACAGAAAATCTAGACTGCTGGGGTTTTATTCTAGGCATCTCCATTTCCTACTTGTGTGATATTGGTTAAGTGACTAAACTTCTGAAAGTGTGAAAATGGTACCTTTCTCATAGAATTGTGAGGATTAAATGAGTTAAATTATACAAAGTGCAAACAATAACATGTCACATAGTGCATGTTCAGTAAATATGAGTCACTATTCCTATCATCATTATTGAAACAGATTATCAACAATGCCCAATTTAGATAGAAAAGCTCAGAGAGATTAAGTAAATTCTCCAAGGTCACACAACTAAAAAGTAGCAGAGAAAGGATGTGAAATAGATCTAACTCAAAAGACTATTTGCTTAACCAAAACATTATACTGCCTCTTACTGTAGATGCTTGATTAATAGTAATTAAATGATTGAATAAACGTAGACAACATCCAGTCCTCAAGAACTCTAAGAAGTCAAGTCACACATCTGCCTCTAAGACACACAAAAGTATTAGTTAGTATACTAAATAGAAGTATACACTGC